GGTCTGCGGTCACGGGGGTGTCATGCTGGGCACTGCGTGGCCTCGGGGCAGTGAGCCCTGGGGTGCTGCTGGTTGGGAGTGGGAGATGTTGGTGTGCAGAGGAGAGAGGTTTGGAAGGCTCTTCTCCTTCCCTGTGGATTGCTGTGTGCAGGGGTCGTGGTGGGGAATGGCTTGGATGGGCTTGGGTTTTTGATTAAGGTCTTGGATGGGCTTGGTTAAGGTCTTGGGAGGTCCTTGATTAAGGTCTTGGATGGGCTTGGTTAAGGTCTTGGGAAGTCCTTGATTAAGGTCTTGGATGGTCCTTGGTTAAGCTCTTGGGAGGTGTTTGGTAATATTTTGAGTGGTGTTGGGTAATATCTTGTTATTTCATTTATTTCAAGCCTTGTGAAACAGCTCGTGAGGAGGAAGCAGCCCCGTGCTGGCAGCAGAGAGGTGTTGAGGTCTCTTTGTCTAAGCTCATTTGTGGCACTACAGAGGTGATAGAAATAGGCCTAAAATCTGTGTTTGTGCCACACACACTTGGTGCAGAGTGAGGAGACTCTTTGGCTTGGGACTGTCTCATGCAGCTTGAGGGTGTGTTGTGTCATGTGAAATAAGCTGAGATAAAGAAAGCCAAGCTCACAAATGAGCACAGACAAGATTCCTGGATGAAGCTTCTCTACCAAGACAGGAGCTGTCTGGAAGCCAATTGAGACACACAGAGGAAGTGAAAGTCATCAATGCAATTAAACTGAGTTTAGGAAAATACATTGCTTTGTGGTTTTTTTTCCGTTTCTATCTCAATGCTGCTGCCAGGTCCACTAGCATTAAAGCCTCACTTTAGATTGTAAAACAAACAGAAGGAAACCAAGAGAACTGATCTCTGAAGAGCTGAGGTGAAGGTGAGAATTGAGATAAACAGAAAAATCAATGTTATCAGCAACCCAGAGAGCTATTTTCAAACACGTGTGTTTAGCAGGGTGAGCAGCGTAAGTTGTTGCCTGCAGGAAAAGAGGAGGGAAGAAAGGGGCAGGGAAGCATTATCCAAGCTTTTGAGTAACATACCTGCACCTTAAATAGCTACCTGAAATAGCTACATGACTTCTAAGAGCAAAAATGTAATGCAGTGACTTGATTAGTTACTTATTATTAAATATAAATGTTGCAATAAAGGATTAATTCCACACTTGCTGTTATCCCTCTGTGAGTTGCTGCTCTGTGTGAGGGTGTTGCCAGCCTAAGTTCCATCCCTTTGGATCCATCCTAGTGGTTTTAAGGCTTTTCAAGGTAACGTTGTTAGGGATATTCCTTTTCTCCTGTAGAACCATTTCAGCTGTGTATCAAACCAGTGGTTATCAAACTGTGTCTGCACACACTCACTGCAGGCTGCTGTGACACCTTTCCCAAACCTCCAGTGGGTTGGTTGCTGTTAAAGTGCCTCCAAGGGAAAGCCATGGGAAACAGGGAAAGCCTGGGGTGGTTTCTATGAAAGCAGAGGGAGGGAAAGTGGATGAAGGGAGAGTTCCTGTGAGTGCTCACTCAAAACCTGCTGTGCTGGCTGTAACCTGTAACAGCTCTGAGCTGTTTATTGGTGTTTCCAAGCTCCTGTGTGCTGGGCAGGCCTTTGGCAGGTCACCTCTGCTGCTATCACCCTGTGCACTTGTGCCTGACCTTGCTGAACTGCTTTTAATCGAGTTTGTGCAGCTTCCCATGGGAGCACATGAGAAAACCTGTTTCTGTGATCTGAGAGATCTGTACTTCCCACTTAGCTTGGAGCAGTGTCCTCGGTGTGTGTTTAGTGATGTGGCTTATAATTCTGCATTCAGGTGCTGTCAAATGTAAGCAGAGGTAATCCCAAAGTACTGTGAGGGTGGTGAGACAGTGGCACAGGTTGCCCAGGGAGGCTGTGGCTGCCCCAACCCTGGCAGTGTTCACAGCCAGGTTGGCTAAAGCCTTGAGCAACCTGCTCTGGTGGGAGGTGTCCCTGCCCAGGGCAGGGGGTTGGGACTAGGTCATCTATAAAGTCCCTTCCAACCTTTAACAGTCCATGATTCTACTATCAGTAGTTTCACTCACTGCCTCTGTGCACACTTGTGGCTTTCAAAGAGTTTTGTATTCTTAAGAAGGCTCTGTGCGTTCTTCCTAACAGCTCCTGGTGAAACACTCTGTGATTCATGTTATTTCTGCCACGATGAAGGAGAACTGCTCTTTTCTCTGTACTTCAAAATAAAGCAGTGGAAGGAGCAGGGAGTATGTGTGGTTTGTAGTCCTATAACTGCTGAGGAGACACAGTGTTAAGTAGATGTGTGTATACTTAGGTTTTCCCATCTCAGACCTTGCAGAGAACAAACTTCCCCAGGTTGGTGTTTGCACACCTGTGTGTGCAGTGACCCAACCATAGCTGCATGTTCTTTGATAGTTCTTTCCTGACTGACAACTTCCAGAACATGTTTGCCTTGGATTTTATCTCTGTTAAAACAACTCCTTCTTTATTTTTGTGCAGACCCACAGTGACTGCAGTAGCTTACTCATCATCTGGAAGTGCTGCAGCTATTGCTGATCATCCAAACTTTGTATTTGTGAATCAGCCCCACTGGTCACTCCTTTTATGTGACTAGAGCTGATAAATGTGAATGAACATTGTTCACAGCAATATTTGTTTTCTATTTTACCACTTCTCGCTGGAATTTTTGTTTGTTTGTTAAGCAAAACTATGCTAAAATCAGTTTCCTTATTGTAGATAGTTCTTGTCTCTAAGACAAAAAGAGTTCTTCCATCTGATTCACATCAGCTCTTCAGCCAGGGAGATGACAGGTGTTGAAAGCCAACATGAAAGAGAGTGAATTATTAGATCAAAGGAATTTTTACTTCCTGACCCCAAAGTTTCTGCTGGTTTTTGAGGAATGCTGCTGTCACAGTGTGCATTGTGAAACTGCCCTGAGCAGGCGCCTGGTTAGGGCACAGTCAGTCCACTGCTCACTGTGAGGTTAGGACTGAGTGCTGCCAAAAGTGCCTGTGGGCAGGTGAGTGCTCATAGGCACCTTGTGGCACAGCTGTCTTGGTAAGGCATTTATATCTCCACACTTTAGACTGGCATAGCACAAGTGACACAGATCTGTAGCAAATATCTGATCTGTAGACATGAGCCACAGAGTGAGTTGGATTTGAGGAGCTGTGAGAGCAAAGTCAGTGTTCTGTCCTGCCTCTTTTGGATACAAACTGTACTGCTATTTTGGACACTGCTTTGCAGGAGTACATTCTGCAGCAGTTTAGCTCCTGTTGGCCTCTTAGTTTTTGAGCGAGATCACATCCATTATGCCAACTTCTTTTAAAATTCTAAGAAATTATTGGGTGCTTGGAAAGTCTATTGGCCTTCAGACCAAACATTCCTTTCTAAAGCCTGTTATGAGCTACTTAAGCCTTTGAACACTAAACACTTTATAGATCTCCAAGGGACTGAGGTAATTACCTGTCACATAATCTATGTCCACCCACCAACAATCACTACTTGCTTCCAAAAGCCACTGTCTGTTCTGTTCATTTATGTGAGTTTTGCCACATATGCTTAATTCCATTCACCCTGCAGTAAGGTGGTACTCAGTTTGAGTACAGAAATCCACAGTACAATTAAAAGTCATGCCATTTCACAGCCAAAGGGCAATAATCCAGATGAGGTGCTGTCAGATTGCTCCCTAGAAAAGCAGGGAGAAAGCTAAGTCTCATTAAAGTTGACAGGTCTGTAAAAAACATTGTATGTCCATTTCATTTATCATATTTGTTAATGAAGATATTAGTTCTACCACAGTACACACTACTCTGAATATTGCAGTAGATTTCCAAAATGATCTGTAAAGACAAATATCATCAGCAGGGTTCATCTGCTGTGAACACCAATATTGGCTAAAACTGCTGTTTGTGAATACTTTGCAGAATAACATTGTGTCAGCAAACTTCCAGAACGAAAATTGTTTGGGGTTAAAGGAAGAGTAGATAAAGGATATTTTATTTCAGGACACAGGGGTTATATCTTCTCAAAAGCTTTCAAACTAGACATTGGGTGCAAGTTATATTTCCAAATCATTTACTGGGTAAAAGCACTGGATAAAGTTGTGTATTGCTATCTGTGTACAGTGCTAACTATTTGTGTGTTCTGTGTTTATGCTCCACAGCTCAGAAGAAGCATACCAGCATTCTTGGCTCCTTGGAGAGTTTCTCCGTGTGCCTTTAGATCCTCCAAGTCAGAACTCAAGCCAAGTCTGCCCAGTGTTGGAGTTGTCTGTGGTCCACTTCAGACCTTCACCGAAGAGGAGGCAATGCTGAAGAACATGGGTAACTCATCTCTGTGTAGCTAAAATTCAGAAATGTTTAACTAGGAGGGAAATTTTAGCTTAAAATTTTATTTTCATTATTTATTTCTAGTTATATGCTGTGAGTGTTTTGGGAGATTGTTTAAAATCCTTTATTTTAAAACTGCTTTAGTTCACAGGAGAAAAATGTAATGTTCTCTTTCCATGTTAGCACAGTACAGCTCCACATTCCATGATTTGCATAAGGAAATATTAGCTGTTTCAAACTTGCTGCCACAGAAACACTGCACAGCTAACCAACTAAAGCATCTCTTGGAAGTATTTTCTGTAACTTTTTTTTAGTTGAGCAGTGTTACATAAGAGTTGCTGAGATGCTTTCAGGGTTCCTGAATTTATAGGATGTATTTGTGCTGGTTTGGAGAGTTGCAGCTGAGTCCAGAAAACAATTACTATTGAGCCTTGCGACACAGCATTTTGATTCACTTGAGCAGCTTGTCTGGGGGAGTCAGGGAACACATGCAGAACCTGTCAGAAGTACCACATTCCTGTTATGTTGATCTCCAGGGAGACTGTTGGGATACTTACAGGTTTTCTATCTTCTTTTTGTTGCAGTGACAAAGTTTGCTCAGGAACGAGTTGCTCCTCTCGTGCAGAAAATGGATGAGAATTCAAAGATGGAAGACTCAGTGATACAGGGACTGTTTGAACAAGGGGTCTGCACACTTTTATTTCAGCTTTTAGTCAGAAAGCAACATCATTTTGTGATTCTCTAGCTGTGCCCTTTGCAGATTTTTAGATTAAAAGATTGAGAACTTTAATTCTAATGAATCATTAAAAGGTTTGGGTCTATCAACAGCAAGGCAACTTTCCCTTTCCCCTTCCCTTTCCCCTTCCCTTTCCCCTTCCCTTTCCCCTTCCCTTTCCCCTTCCCTTTCCCCTTCCCTTTCCCCTTCCCTTTCCCCTTCCCTTTCCCCTTCCCTTTCCCCTTCCCTTTCCCCTTCCCTTTCCCCTTCCCTTTCCCCTTCCCTTTCCCCTTCCCTTTCCCCTTCCCTTTCCCCTTCCCTTTCCCCTTCCCTTTCCCCTTCCCTTTCCCCTTCCCTTTCCCCTTCCCTTTCCCCTTCCCTTTCCCCTTCCCTTTCCCCTTCCCTTTCCCCTTCCCTTTCCCCTTCCCTTTCCCCTTCCCTTTCCCCTTCCCTTTCCCCTTCCCTTTCCCCTTCCCTTTCCCCTTCCCTTTCCCCTTCCCTTTCCCCTTCCCTTTCCCCTTCCCTTTCCCCTTCCCTTTCCCCTTCCCTTTCCCCTTCCCTTTCCCCTTCCCTTTCCCCTTCCCTTTCCCCTTCCCTTTCCCCTTCCCTTTCCCCTTCCCTTTCCCCTTCCCTTTCCCCTTCCCTTTCCCCTTCCCTTTCCCCTTCCCTTTCCCCTTCCCTTTCCCCTTCCCTTTCCCCTTCCCTTTCCCCTTCCCTTTCCCCTTCCCTTTCCCCTTCCCTTTCCCCTTCCCTTTCCCCTTCCCTTTCCCCTTCCCTTTCCCCTTCCCTTTCCCCTTCCCTTTCCCCTTCCCTTTCCCCTTCCCTTTCCCCTTCCCTTTCCCCTTCCCTTTCCCCTTCCCTTTCCCCTTCCCTTTCCCCTTCCCTTTTCCCTTTCCTTTCCCCTTCCCTTTCCCCTTCCCTTTCCCCTTCCCTTTCCCCTTCCCTTTCCCCTTCCCTTTCCCCTTCTCTTTCCCCTTTCCCCTTCCCTTTCCCCTTCCTTTGTCTCCCCTCCCTCAATTCTTTTTTAATTGGATAAGCATAATTCCATAGAATGCTGGAAGTGCCATGACTCTGATAAGTGTTGCTGGAAAGTATATCAGGAGTCCTCTATGGTTTACTGGGCAACCACAAGGATTTATGTTGCAGATATCCTGGTGTTCATTCCTGGATTCAATTTTAGCCTTTCCTGCTGTCAAACCCAAAGCTGATTTTAGGGCTCTTTTCCAGCCTAATTGTTTCTATGGAGGACTGTTAATTTTTTAAGGGCACTGAAGGCAAACAGGACTTTGGGGAAAGATCTGCAAATACATTCTGTGGGGTTTGTTTTAATCTCTCAAGTATCAGCTTGGACTAACAAATGGTTGACAGGAACTAACAGATTGACATATTTGCCCCTTTTCCATTTCAGCTGATGAGTATTGAGCTTGGGGAAGAATATGGAGGAACTGGAGCTTCATTTTTTTCAATCATATTGGCAGTAGAAGAATTGGCCAAAGTGGATCCAGCTGTAGCTCTTCTATGTGAACTCCAAAACACACTGACAAATAAGTTGTTTACCACATATGGAACAGAAGAACAAAAGAGAACTTACTTGCCCAGAGTGGCTAAGGATACAGTGAGTCGAAGTCTTACTTAACTATTAAAATTATATTATAGTTTAGTAATATCAGTGAGGTTTTTTCAGTGACTAATGTGTGACTGCAGCACTGTCAGACGTGTGTGAACTTTGAAACTCTGGTTAGAGCTGAGATCTGTGTGATACAGATACATCCTGTCATCAGTGGCTGAGAGGTAAAAGTGGAAAGGCACGTATTAGTTTCATTAAAATTTCATTTACTGTGGAAAAGAACTGTAAAGCAGTTGACTTTGAGAGATGTGTAATTACATAGTGTTTCTATTCTTAAGCTCCATAGCTGAAACTCAGTTGCTTTAATGCAGTAGGTTGAAATGCTTGAAATGAAGAGACTTTTGCTTGTTCATAAGTATTTTCATTGCAGGATTTGTTATTTGTAGTGATTAAAATGACTTTTTCCCCTTCCCTTGACAGATAGGCAGTTTCTGCCTCTCAGAGCCTGGGGCTGGCAGTGATGCTTTTTCTCTGAAGACTCGTGCTGAAAAGAAAGGAGACTATTACATTATCAATGGCTCAAAGATGTGGATTAGCTTAGCAGAACATGCAGGAGTTTTCTTTGTGATGGCAAATACAGATCCATCCTTAGTAAGTTGCTACAGAGCAGTTGCATTTCAGTGACAGCTGATGGTATGTGAAACTATGGACTTTATGTTACTAATCTGATGTTACAAGTTAATATTCTGTGCACCTTTTCCTGGCTGACAGCAAACCTTTAGAAATAGTTCCCAACAAAAACTGAGAACTTGCTGAGCAGCTTAACAAATGCCTCCAGCTAAAAATGTCAGAATCATAACTGCTGAGATGATGAGCACAGCCTGCATTGGTGATTTTCTGAGCAATAGAGGGACACACAGGCTAAGCCTTTCCAGCCCTTCTAACTGACAAGTTGCTGTTGTTAAAAGGCAAAATATGCCTTAATGTGCTGATTCTTGTGGCTGCTCTCTGTGGGGGCAGGAGTTGGTCTTGGAAGATCCTTGTGGGTCTCTTCCAACTCAGGATTTTCTGTGGTTCTGTGAAAATAGTTAGGCTAGATGGCCTGGAAAACTGATAATATCCTGTAGTAAAGTATGTTCAAATAAAAAAGTGACTGAATATATATGTGTCAAGTTCTGACCTCAGTTTGGATATAGGTAACAGATTGAGAAAGTTCAACTGCAGGGTTTAAAATGTATGTAATATGGTGATTATCACATGCAAAACTAAAGTGTTCAAAACGTTCATTAATTTTTTTAAACTTCTTTCAGTATGTCTGAAAATTTTAACTTGAAGATATTTGCTTTTCAATTTTATTTTTTCACTAAATAGGGACCTTTTTCTTTCATTGTATCTAACAGCTGAATGTTATATTAAACCACAATTAGCAGCAGATGACTGTGCCAGTGCTTTAGTTTTTAGTACAGTGCTAAGCAGGTGTGAAGTTTCAGTATTGGAATGAGATATTCAGAGCACTCTTTGGTGAGACTAGTGTCAAAAGCAGTTCTTGATTCTTTTTTAATTCACCCTAGGGATACAGAGGAATCACCTGCTTCATAGTAGATCGGGACACAGAGGGACTACATGTGGGGAAAAAGGAGGACAAGCTTGGAATCAGAGCCTCTTCTACCTGCCCAGTTACGTTTGACAACGTGAAGGTATTGTGAGTCGTTCAGCTGCTGGAGCATAATTTGTGTATCACTGGAACTTGACTACACACAGGAAAGAATGTTAACTCAATTCCCTATTTTTTTCCCTTAGACATACTGATTGTTTGGCATATTTTAACTTTTTTTACTCCTAATTCCTTGGTATAAATTTTAGTGGGGGTTGAGTTTGTTAAATTTTCATGCAGTTGATCATCACGTGTATCAGGAAATGTTCTCTAATCAGATACTCTAGGGAGCAAAGTTCTGGTTTATGTTTTATGCCTTCACTTATGAGGGACATTAAATAAAACGTGCACTGTTCATTTGTGAACGCTGCTGGCAGTTGCAAAGCAGAATAGAACTGGAATAATGGAATGATTTTTATTCTTTAGGTTCCTGAGACCAATATCCTGGGAAAGGTTGGACAAGGCTATAAGTATGCTATTGGAATGCTGAATACTGGCAGGATAGGGATTGCTGCACAGGTGGGTCATGTGGTTTATTGCTGAATACAACCAGTATGTGAGTTTGGATTGAAACTTGTGGGATATTCAAAGCTTTTAGGAATAAATGGTTTAGAAAACACTGTATGAAGAGCTCAGGTGCCACTAGATGTCAGTGTTCCTGTAGCTAAGTTACAGGGAAATGGAAACAACTGTCAGTCGAAAATTCTCCTTGGGTGACACAAGCAATAGATTTAGAAACATTAAATAGCAATTAGTTTGTCTTTGGGTATTAACTTATTGCTCCTGAATTATGTCAACATTCTTATCTTCCATTAAGAAAAGCTATTTTACAAAGAAAACTAACTTTGAGAAATGGAACACAGTGAAATGTGTGAAATTAAGGTTTCCAACTGTGGTTATGTGGGATTGGCAATGTGACCTTGTGCTAACTGATGTCAAAAAACTTTTTTTAAAAAAAAAAATGTGATTTTTATAGAACAGAACTCTTCTAGTTCATTATTGTATTTGGAAATTGCATCTTAGGGGAAAATACTTACTGACCTTGAAATCAGTTCAAAATGTATTTTGCTGTAAAATCAGTTTGGATCTCAGATTGCTGCTGATCCCAGTGGGAATCAGGTTCAGCCCTATAATAAAAGGACTTGTGACAAGGTTTTACATTTTTAATTAACTTTTGAAAGCAATCTTTCCTTTGTTTCTGCCTTGTTGTGCAGTATGTCTGTACTACCAATCTCCCTTATCTTTCACCCTGGTTCACAGACCAGAAGTAATGATCCTCATGAAATTCAGGCTTTCACATTGCAGTAACTGTGCTGATAATTGTGCAAGCTCTTCCATCATTTCTAAAGAATATCTGTGATTAAACTTTGTCTGATATGGCATTTCCAAAGGGCTGTGGGCCCCATTGTTCCCAGAGATATAAATAATACAGAGGCTCTGGCAGTAAAATACACAGTCTGGATTTTACTCTTAATTACTCCAAGTTACACCTTAATTGAAAGTTAAGGTCAGGCAGTTGTTATATCTTAGTTACTACTTTCTTGGCACCTTCAAATTAAGAGAAATGTACTTGAGAAGAACAGCAGCTCCAATGCCCTCTAGTATTGAGTTTAGTTTTGCAGTAGGAATGGTTTTAAAAGATAATGAGCATCTTATAAAATATAATTGTGGCTTTGAAAACAGAGTCAGATAGTTTTAGTGCAAATGAGCTGTATATATTGCAGAGGTTGGTGTAGTTGGTTCTTGTAGATGAGTTTATATTAGGAGGTAACAGATCTGGTAATAAAGCTGATTAGCAGCAGAATTAGTTATTTTCCTATGTACTATTTTTTTTCCTGGAAACTTAAGTGATTAAGGAGTAGAAGTTTCAACCCAGTCATGTTTTTAACTTGGCCCTTGACTTTCAGCTCACTGTGAGTGTGTCCAAAGATTCCAGTGCATGTTGTGCATCACTAAAGATGGTTTGACTGAGCTGTGTGACAGTCGATTCCTTTTGTCTTTGTGGAAAGGCAAAATTGCTCTAAATTCCTCTTCAATTGTTCTGCAGAATTGGAAAATACTGGAAGAAGTGTTCTCTCTCCTTCCACTCCACTGATTCTCTAACTTGTGAAACAAATTGCAGCCCAGTGTCCCCCGTAAAATGAGAAATTATTTTGATTATGGAAATAGCTTGGAATAATCATTCAAATTATTTTTCCTTTAATAGCCTAACGTGGATCTATAGATCTCTAGTTTACAGTAATTTTCCCCTGTAATTAGAAATTTTCCCAGAAACACTTAATATTTATGCAGCCACAGCTGATCCATAAGTTCTGTTCAAAAATTAGTGGTAGTGTTTTCATAAGTATTTGCCTCTAATAAGACTTTCAGGAGTGTAATAGTATGAAATAGGCTTATTCCTCAAACTCCTTTTTTGGTGTTTTTTTTTTCTCCTTTTGTAACTCCCTTCAGTATTTCTAATAACTGTCAAATTCTGGCTCTTGATTATATATAGAACTATATTGTATTTTAGCTTTGTGTAAGGTTTAGCAATGCCTAGGTGGGGAAAAAGCTTCACTTTTCTCATGAATCCCAAACTTTTGATAAAGGTGAATTGCCTGACTTGAAGATGATCAATCTCCATTAGGTGCGTTCAATGAACCAATTTTTACTGACCACGTGCTTTATTCTTTCTTACAGATGTTAGGACTGGCCCAAGGCTGTTTTGATCTCACAGTTCCTTATACAAAGGAGAGGGTCCAGTTTGGGAAAAGTGTGTTTGATTTCCAGGTACTTGTTAATGAACTCATGGGAGTATCACAGTGTGCTGAATGTGTTCCAGTTTTTATACCCTTTGATGAGGTGCAGGGGAAAGACTTCTTCTGGAAACACTAGAAATTACAAAAAGATGAGGAAAGCTGATTGAATTATTAGATTTCCTGTGCTATACAAAGACATTTAGTTTTCATTATAATATCTGTATCTTACAACCAAAAAGACTCTTTGTTGCAAAAATGATGTATAGTTTAATAAGGAAGATACATAATTGTAATTACTGTAGTAATTTTCTTGTTAAAAGAAACCTACAGCTCTGCTGAAGAGAAGGAACATTAGCACTGCTCATAATTTATGCAGATTTTTAGGAAGCACTCACAGACACCTGGGAAATGATTGGAACTGCGTCTTCTGAATGGGAAATGGAATTTATAATTGCCAAATCATTTTGGTATTTTGACCTGCATATATATTTCTGCAAATCTGAGGGAACTGTGTTAATGTTCTAATAAGATGAAAGATTTCATTGTGTTTTAGACTACTAAATGTTCATTTTCAATCATCATAATGTTTGGGTCTTCTTAAATAAACCCATTCTTCTGTAATACCTACCGTTTAGCTGTGAGCTCCAGCCCTCCCCTTGGAGACATTCCTCAGTCATGGCCTTTATGCTGCTCCTAACCTTTGTCTGGTGCCTCTGGGTCATGGGAAGGAGGAGTTGTCACCTTGCTAGGTCTCTATTGAAAAGTGCTTGTTTACAAGTCTTCCTTGGTTAAGGTCATCAATTATTGTGTGAACATTCTCAGTAACTGCAGAGTGAAAACAGCTCTGAGCACCCTGTGTCTCTGCAGGGCTGAGGAGGATGTTAGGATTTGGCTAAAATTTTCCTTGATACTCATGAGTACAAATAGGTTACACTCTTGTCCAGCCAGTCAGTACCACCCCAGTACTCCTGAATCCAAGAAGTGGGAAGGAGAGTGCAGTTCCTGAAAGGACTTTAGTGGCCCAGAGGTTTTCCCAACCTCAGTGTCAATAGGTCATAGAATCACAGAATGCTAAGGGTTTGGAATGGACCTTACAGATCATCTAGTCCCCGGGCAGGGACATCTCCCACCAGAGCAGGTTGCTCAAGGCTCATCCAACCTGGCTGTGAACACTGCCAGGGTTGGGGCAGCCACAGCCTCCCTGGGCAACCTCTTCCCATAGTTTATGTCTGATGCAGAAGTACATAGAACTACTAGTCCGTCTGGATTTCCTGTATTTGTTTCAGACCGTTGGTATGTATGGTGAAACCAATGTGTGTTGCTAGGAATTTCAGGGGAGTCCTGGGTACTGTTTCTGCCTGACTTGTGTTGTGCTTGTTGCAGGGGATGCAGCACCAGATAGCCCAGGTGGCCACGCAGCTGGAGGCAGCCAGGCTGCTCACCTACAACGCCGCACGCCTCGCCGAGACGGGCAGGCCTGTCATCAAGGAGGCCAGCATGGCCAAGTACTATGCTGCTGAGGTAACCTGCAGCTGCTTTCTGCTCTCAGGGCTGTTTCACTGCTCTTGAAAAGCTGCTTCTGTTGCCAAATGTATAGCCTGTAATTCGTCTTCTGCTGTGAAATGTGTGGATGTGCTTTTATCTTGGGTGCTCCATGCCTGGGAGTGTCCCAGGCCAGGTTGGATGGGGCTCTGAGCAACTTGGTCTAGCAGAAGGTGTCCCTGCCCATGGCAGGGGTTGGAATGAGATGAGCTTTATGGTCTCTTCCAACCCAAACCAGTCTGATTCTCAGTCTGTGTTCAGAATGTAAAGTAAGTCATCAAAAAAGAAACTGCTTATGCCTCTAAACACAATCTTTAAAACCAAGCAACAGCATGAAAAGAGAAAAGTGAATTAAAATTTTCACTCATCTAAGGAGATTTAATTTTCTCAGAATTCTCTTTGTGTGATGTGAGAAATGACACTGTGAGAGTTCATTTGTGACGATTTCAGCTCTGCTGGTCACAACTGTGAGTCTTAAAATGATTCAAAACTGCATCACTTCTGCCTCTTTGTCCAAGCTGTCCTGCATATACCATTGCTAGTCTTTTCCATAGTGCAGCATAGGAACTGTTGCGGTAACAGTGAATTCTTGATGGCCTCTGATTTAGAATAATTTTTATTCTGAAATGGCTTTCTGAAAATGAATTTTAAAAATGCGTATTCTTCCTCTTCCCACTTGTTCTAGTTACTGCTTTATTCACTGTTTGTTTTTTGCTTGAAATAGTAAAGGCAAGGCCTTGTCATGTCTTTAGTAAAGAAGGGCAAAGAAGAAGATTTAGTACCCCTGTCAGAAAGCTAAACTCTCAGATTCTAACTCTGAACCTCTTTCCACAGGTTGCAACACTGACAACTAGTAAATGCATCGAGTGGATGGGAGGTGTTGGGTTCACCAAAAACTACCCAATAGAAAAGTATTATCGTGACTGCAAGATAGGTGAGTGGTAGTTCCTTAGCAAGTATCTCTTGGAGCATAAGTGGCGTTGAAGTTTAGGATGAATGGCTTTTTTCCAAGGTATTTTCTCTCTGGGACTGTATCAACACTGATCCAGAGACTCAACTGTCAGAAGGTAAAACTTCAGGTGTGAACATCTGTGTATGCAAGGCTAGTTAAAGTGTCTAATTGGATACCAGTAAAATACAGATACAAACATTGTGTCCCATTCTGTTAAGAAAATTCCAGTTCAAACAAATATTGCAAATACCTTCTTCAGCTTTGAGATCTGAATGTGGTTTCCTTTTCAAGACTTCCTTGTTTACCAGGATAGTCCTTGCACCCAACAGTGTGGCATTTTAAACAGTATTACCCTGTGACTTATATTGTGATAACACTTGGAAAAACTTCTTTTTTTGTTGTTGTTATTTAGCAGTTCTTTTCAGGAAAATACCTTGTCATCATGTGATTCCAGCAGAAAAGTGCTTTACTTGTTGCAGATAATAAAACATAAACATTTATGCTTTATAATGTTATAAGTCTGTTGCTAGAACTTGCTCAATAAAGCTTCACATCACAATTGTAAATGTTCTAACTGGACTGTTAGAATGATATTCTGGTGCCTCTTCATAAGTTCTCTGTGGGTTTATAGTCTGCTAATTTATTTTCTTCTGATTTCAGGTACAATATATGAAGGGACTTCCAATATCCAGTTGAGCACCATTGCAAAACATTTGGCACAGGAATACTGAATTCTTGAGGACTTCCTGACTGTTGATGGAAATGGTTGCCCTGAACACTCCTTGTGAATTACCCATTTGTTTGTAATTACAAAGAGCATCAAATAAGAACACATCATCACAGATGAAGTCATAGGGAAACCCATGAATTCCCCATTTCAGGACACTGAGTGATTCTCATGGAATCCTAAATTCCACTTTCAAATCCAAATTGTGGGTTAAAAGTGTTTTATTCTGCCTGAGGGACTTCCAAGGTAATGCATTGGCTGAAATGATTTAGTCACCTTGGGTTATGCACATCTCCACTGTGAGATCTCACAGTGAAAACCAGTGAGATCTCAACGTGAAAACAGAGGAAGCCAAATCCTTGGCATGCCTGATGGGAAAGGTTCTGCCAAGCCACCTGGGAGAAGAGACTCTACCCATGCAGCTGAGCTGTTGAGTGAAGCTGCTGTTTGTGCTGCCCTGTATTTGCATGGGGTACAGGAGAGGTGTGTGGGAAGAGAGAGAAGTGGTGGTTTCCTCTCTCCCAGTTGGAGTGATGTCTGTGGAGCTGCTGTAATTGGAGTAATTTTTATAGCAGCCCTTAGTGTGTTCTTAAGGATATCTTTGTAATTAAGCCCTTCCAGCCCCAATTTGTACTCCTGAAAGGTGGATAATATCCACCTCCCTTTCCAGCCTTCTCAGCTGTTAAGGGTTTTAATCTAAGAGGCTATTTATAGTTCTCCTTTCATAAAAGGTTGAGTTGAAATCTTTCTGAAATGGGGTTAAAAAAGCTCTAGCAGTTCTGCAAAAAAGACATATATAAGCTGGGTAATAGGAATGCTGTGATGCTACCTCACAGTGGCCTTTCCATGTTCAATGCATTTTACAAACTAATCCTCAGAACCTTCCTGGGAGTTAGGGAGACACTTAATTTGCAGCCTGGAGAATTTGCTTCTGGAAGTTAGTGGTTCCCTAGCATAGTTTTTCTCCTTTTGAGAGGGAAAAGGGCAGGGGGTTGGGAAGTATTTGCTTTTTTTATCCCTCTCTGTTTACTTTAAAATGAGACATTTTATTTACAGCAGAAACCTCTTCAGCGCTGGAGAGCTAATTAACTAATAATCAAGAGACAGGAAGCTTAATATATGAAAAATCATTCTAATTGCTGTAATTGGCAATCTGTTTGAAGTGTTTTGGGGAGGGAAGGATTGGTTTTCTGGTTTTGGCTGACTTAGAAGAATCTCATTTTTAAAGCTTGTTAGTCACTGATGATTCACTTTGAGTGGAGCTTAGAACTGTTACAGGCTGAGACTCCCAAAGGATTTTCTAGCCAGACTAGGGCAAATGACACTTAACCAGAAGGATTTGTAGAGCAAGGAGACAGCAGTGCCTTACACAAAGAAATAAGCAAGGATGAAAAGCACTATTAAAAGTTCTCTGACTTTCTGTCAGCTTCAAAGGGAAGTAACTACTTCAGTGAATTAATCCCCCTATGTATGCACTTTGCCTGTTGATAGGCCAAGAGTTATTGTGGTAATTATCCCTATGCCAATGAAAAAAGCTCCTCCCATGTCAGTTTGATCAACAGCTTTGAGCTTTTGGAAAGTCCAAGAGTAGGAGGGTAGACTAGGGGGTTTCTGAAGTTTTCTTCTAGCATTATCATTGCTATTATTATTTATTATTGGTCATTATTAGTGCATTTTAAGTTGTTTGCAGGTTTTCCTCCAGCTGAGCTGAAACACCTGGGGAGACTGTTAGACTAGAATTAAGACTGCAGACACCACAACAGTTATCTACAGTTATTCTGCTTGACATAGTCTATCTGTGAGGCTAAACTGATCATAACCACACTGCAAAATGCTTGAGTTAACGTTGGTGAATGTGCTGAGTTGTGCTAAGGTGAGACACCCCTTCGCTGCTGCAGTTTAACCTGCTTTGCTCACATGAGTGTCCACAGATGAGGTTTTGGTTCATACCTTTTACTTGGTCTCCTACTTTGAGGTACTGTCTTAGCTTGGCTTCTGCAGTTTTGTGTGAGGCTGAGAAGGGAGTGGCAATACTTAACTGACTTAGTACAGTGCCAGAAGCAAACCCTTTATGGAGGAAAGTGCAGAACTCCTTGAAGGGAATTTGTTAAGGGCTGGATATCCAGGATTGTGTAAAGTGCTGTCTCTTTGTGCAGAACTGTCAGGTATCCATTTGACAAAATAATCAGGATAAAAGGAAAATAATATGATTCCTTAGTCTGAACTTGGATACCTGAGGAAACCACCAAACATCCTCATCAGCTGCTCTAGTTCTTTTCAGGAAAGCAAGGTCAAGCCTTTAACTAATGTTACAGTGTGAATATGTCACATCTCTGTCCTGTGTGCTGTATTTTCTACACAGCTTTGAAAGAAATGTATGTCTTGTATTTGATATTTGTATACAAAATTCTGTGGAGGAATATACGCACAAATCAGTTAGAACCTCTGAGTTTTCCATCAATGTTTTTAAAAGGAAATGTACCACTGTGGAGAGCACTGGCTCCTCTGGTCATTGATTCTGGGAAGAGTTAATTTAGAGAACCATGGAATGGTTTGAGTTGGAAGGGACCTTAAAGCCCATCTGGTTCCAGCCCCTCCCAGTCCCATGGCAGGGACACCTTCCACTAGCCCAGGTTGCTCCAAGCCCCATCCATCCTGGTATTATTTTGTGCCTTTGGTTCCATTCCTTCTCCAAACACAGATGTTGCATTGGTAATGAGAAGTGCTGTGTCCAGGGGCTGTGAAGAGCTCTGTGTGCTCCCCAGCCCGTTTCTGTTGGGAGAGACATTTCTGGATGGTCATGAGTTGCATTTCTGCATTAGGCACTCTGGGCACAGGCTGCAGAGCTGGAGCTGGGAATGCTATGAGGCTTTCTGTGCTGACAGGGCTCAAAGCTGCTTTATATACTCAATATGTATTTATATCCATGAATTTTCCCTTTTTATGCCCTTAGTCAGCCCGGTCAATCTGTTCTGTTGTCCTAGACCAGCATCTTCAGTACCACATGAGCTTACCTGGTGAGAAGAAAAGACTTGTACTGAGAATGTATTAAGAAGTGCCTCAATTTTAATTTCAACTTGATACAATGCTAATCTTGTATATCAGGTGATGGTTCTCTAATAAACTGTCATTTAAAATTGTTACCAGATCTTGCTGTTTCTGTACCAGGAGAGAATGAATTGTTATCATCTGTTGTGTTTCTCTGGCTCTGTTCTGGTTGGTGATCAAGGTCTGAGGCAGATTTCCATAGAAGGGTTTAATCACTACTTGGGAAATACTCAAATAAAACATCTATCGTGTTTTCTATGCTGTTGTTCTTTCTTTCCTATTTTCTTTTCCCCATATAAATATTGTGTTGGAAATTATGTGAAATACAGAGTAATTGCTCATTGGGAGCCTTTGGCTGTGTAAAGACTTTTCTAATTAACATGTTATTGCCTTTCCACTTGAAAATCTTTTGGTGAGAGACACATTTGAAGTTCTTCCTACCAAGCTAAGCTCGATTTGAAGCACATTCTGCTTTGAAAGCAGCTGTTGACTTCCCTGAGCTCATGCTGGATGCAGGAAAGCTGAAGGGAATGTTTTGCCTCAGCCCTAGAATGTACTCAGTGTTCCAACGTGACAGATCTCCTGAGAGAGTCACGTGGAAGTTGTTACAGCTCCCACAAACACTTCATAAATATTTACCTGCTATGTGATCACTGTGCAAACTGTTGGTGGAGGCACAAATCAAGGGGGAGCTGACAGGCAGATGAATATGGATTGTATAGTTCCCAAAGAATGTTCACACAATTCCTCACTATGTTGTGCTGAAATACAGTCCTGGCAGTGTTCTACATGGAGTTGTCTTCTCTGGAGTGGAACTCCTTGGTCTGTGTCCAGGTGAGGGGGTAGGGCTGGAAGTCTTACTCCTCTGTCTTGGGCTGTCTGGAGTTGGGTGTTGTGGCTGGTTGGACACACAGGTGGGAGGAAGCAGGAGCTCTCCCTGAGCCCACACCACATCAATGCTGTCGTGGTTTAACCCCAGCCAGAGGCTGAGCACCACGCAACTCACTGCCCCACCAGTGGGAAGGGGAAGGGAATCCAAGGGTAAAAGCTAGAAAAACTCATGGGTTGAGACAAAGACAGTTTAATAGAGAAAGTAAAAGCTGCACACACAGGCAAAGCAAATCAAGGAATTAATTCACTGCTCCCCACAGACAGGAGGTGTTCAGCACCTCCAGGAGAGCAGGGCCCATCACGCGTAACGGTTCCTTGCGAAGACAAACACCATCACTCCAGATGTCCCTCCTTCCTCCTCCTTCCTCCCACTCTACGTACTGAAGATGATGTCCCATGGTATGGAATATCCCTTTGGTCAGTTTGGGTCACCTGTCCCAGCTGTGTCTCCTCCCAATCTCTCATGCACCCCCAACTCCCTTGCCAGTGTGGCAGTATGGAAAGCAGGAAAGACCTTGGCCCTGTGTTAGCTCTGCTCAGCAATAACAAAATCATCTCTGCATTATCAACCCTGTGCTCTGCACAAATCCTAAACACAGCCCCATACTAGCCGCTGGGAAGAAAGTTAACTCCACTTCAGCCCAAACCAGCACAAATGCAGAGAGAATCCAGAGCACCAGTCTAACAAATGGGATTTACAGTCATTATTTCAGTTAAGTATGCCCATTGTAAGATCAGTTGCTGTAATTAACAAAGTCCAGCTTAGCACTGAGGGAGTTTCTTGTTATCTGATACCGGAGGCATTATTAAGCTGCTTTGAAATTCTGGCATTTATTATCCTCTGAAAATGTTCTGTTCATGTGCAATAACTGTCTAATATATTGGGTAACCAGAAAAATAATATTTCCTAATAACGTGTTTCATATGTTCAGGTGTTGATTCATATTGGTTTATCATTGTTCAAAAGAACATGCAACAAACACTGCAACATTTTTTCCTAGTGAAGTATTTAAAAATATAACAAAAATATGAACAGTCTCAATAGACAATAGCAACATTTTCAGATATTTTGTCCTTCAAGATCATTTAGATTTAGATCTTTCAGAAACTATTGGTTCTGTCTCAGTAGCTGTGGAGCTACTAA